CTAATTCGTAGCCGTAGATTATCTTGCCAGTCGCACATTCAAGCACAGTGGCAATCAGTTCCGTTGTGCTGATCTTGGAAATGAAAACTTCATGGAAATTCCATCAGAAAATGTCCACGAGAACGGTGGGTATTCTAAGAAGTACATTTAATCTCAAGAAGAAATTTCTGAACCCCTGATCTAATATTAAAATTAATTGTCTATTTAGTAGACAGGCTTTCTAGTAATATCATAAGAGATGAATCAATAGATGGTGGTTAAAAAACAAAAAAACAAACAAAAACAAAAACAACGAAAAAAAAAGAGACATATCTTTGAAGTTGAGGTGCAAAGACGTTTTGGATGGATTTATCCCAAATGTAAAATGACAGGAAGCAAAGAAAACATCCTCGATTAGCATGGGGGCGGATACTAACATTAAGTTCTTCCCAGGAGGAGACTTGGCCTGTATCCAAGACTCGGGCACAGATTTTTCCAATAACAAACTCCCGCCTGGCAAATAAAATATGTATCTTTTCGTTCGAATTACCTCCATATAGGGTCAGTGGTTGTAGCAGTTATGTATAAAAATCTCTCCGAGATCTTCATATCGGACAACAACGTCAATGGAGCCAAGAAAACCAGGTTTGCATGTTTAGCGTTAGCTTGTGTATTTCCTCGTACTTTATTAAACGCGCATCTTCCTCCAATGTTTCGAGAAGATGAAATTGGCTAATTTCAGTGCGAGACCTCATTTAAAAGAAAACAAAGGAAAAATATCCTTAACGTGCATAGCTAAGATGATTTATCCAAACCTACCTCATGGCTCTAAATTAATAGGCTTCCTCCAAAACTAAGGTCCTGAACTGGAGGTGAGTAAAAATATCCAATTGAACAAGAGATTTTGATGGAGACTATAAACTTGTCCGTTTCCTTTTTTTGTTTTACTTCTCTCTTTATTATATTATTATCAGGAAGTTGAACACCATAATCATGTCCGTCGAAATATACCCTGAGCCTGATGAATTGGAGGAAAACATTACCTTGGTTTTTAAAAACATAAAAAAGGTATCCTCGTCACCTCTTGTACCTAATTTAGTCTTTTGTTTTTTCCATCGCACCTTGCAACTTATGTTTAAGTA